CAATTGATAACCTTAGTAGTAACAGACTGTGTCATGCAGTAACAATTGATAACCTTAGTAGTAACAGACTGTCATTCAGTAGCAGTTGATAACCTTAGTAGTAACAGACTGTCATTCAGTAACAGTTGATAACCTTAGTAGTAACAGACTGTCATTCAGTAACAATTGATAACCTTAGTAGTAACAGACTGTCATTCAGTAACAATTGATAACCTTAGTAGTAACAGACTGTCATTCAGTAACAATTGATAACCTTAGTAGTAACTCATACTGAATCGTGTAGTAACGACTGAAATAACATTGGGTGTGGCAGGCGATGAATCTTGTTTTAAAATAATGAGCATCAAACCTAATCATTAGTGATAATAGAACACTTATTTTCACAAGTACAAAAACACGTTCTTTACAAAAAACTAAACGAAAGGAAAAAAAAGAAATCCGTTTAGAATCAACACAAAAACCAATTAGATAAGAGCGACACTTACCCTGCTTTTAAGCGTCTCATGTGCTCACGTTTTCGGTGTCGCTGTGCTCTGTGTCTCAGAGCACAGATGATTGCGAAGGCAAGCAGTGGAAAGCTAATAATACAGGAGACAATAGGAATCACAACTGGCCGAGCATCGAGGGAAACTGAAAACAAAACATTTTATCAGACTTGCTTCATTTCACAGAACCTACCGTTAAATACTTGACCTCTGTGATTGAGTGTCAGGAGTTTATCAGTCTCGTTTTACTGGATTATAGTTATGCACTAACCAGGGCCCTGTTTAAACACCACGAGATAATCTTAGTTATACACTAACCAGGGCCCTGTTTAAACACCACGAGATAATCTTAGTTATACATTAACCAGGGCCCTGTTTAAACACCACGAGATAATCTTAGTTATACACTAACTATGGCCTTGTTTAAACACCACGAGTTAATCTTAGTTATACACTAACCAGGGCCCTGTTTAAACACCACGAGATAATCTTAGTTATACACTAACTAGGGCCCTGTTTAAACACCACGAGTTAATCTTAGTTGTACACTAACTATGGCCCTGTTTAAACACCACCTGATAATCTTAGTTATACACTAACTAGGGCCCTGTTTAAACACCACGAGATAATCTTAGTTGTACACTAACTAGGGCCCTGTTTAAACACCACGAGTTAATCTTAGTTGTACACTAACTAGGGCCCTGTTTAAACATCACGAGATAATCTTAGTTGTACACTAACTAGGGCCCTGTTTAAACACCACGAGATAATCGTAGTTTTCGTTCAATTTTCTAATATTTATCAATTTATGTACTTATTTTACTTTTCTACGCAGAAGTTCATGAGAAAATGGTGGTTCCAGTTTACCTAGCTGCATTGTCTGCTCAACTCAAAAACCTGCTTTGCGTTCTTTCTTTCTTTTTTTTTTCAGCACTGGACTCAGTTTTGTAAATTAATAGTTTTTCAAGTGATTATAATAATGAAATAAAAGTAAATATTGACTTGTTTGTACGAGCATTCACGAGTGAAGATGATCTCGTGTGTGTGTGCGCGCGCGTTCAAATGTAATATTGACTTGTTTGTACGAGCATTCACGAGTGAAGATGATCTCGTGTGTGTGTGCGCGCGCGTTCAAATGTAATATTGACTTGTTTGTACGAGCATTCACGAGTGAAGATGATCTCGTGTGTGTGTGTGTGTGTATGTGTGCGCGCGCGCGCGTTCAAATGTAATCCAGTTCGTTCAAACTAGTGCCGGGCGTGGCTCAGTGGTCAGCGTGTCGGGTTACGGATCGGTAGGCCAAAGGTTCGATCCTGCAATATGCCACTGAACACTCTCCGCACTTTCAGATGTGGGCGCATTATAAAAGCGACAGTCAGTCCTTTTGTTAACTTAAGAGTAACCTTGTAAGTGGCAGGTGCTACTGACTGGTTGCCCTCAGTAAATCTATATCACGGACGACTATGCCTAAAGCTAAAAGTCTCCGACCTTACCGTTTGCCTCTCCCCCTTCCCCCCACGTGTCGCATAAAGTGTTCAAATTGAAATACCAAACAGCGGGTAACGCCCCTAGTAATTGATTTTCATTCTGTCTACGTCATATGTAGGAAAAACCAACTTGTACAGAGGTTATGTGTTTTGTATATAATAACAATAAATGTCCATAAACCTATAACGAAAGGAGTATTAACTTACCCGAACGTAGATGTTGCACGCATGAAAAATGGGCTGGGCGTGCGCTAATGATTAGCGTATTGGACTGTAACCCCGGGGGGGTTAGGGTTCGTGTCCACTGTTCCAGGTTTTCCCAAATTGGGGGCCGCGGGGAGGGTCGTAGCAAATACACAAAATAAACAATATTGTTAAGGTATTCAGTATCTATAGAGTGAATGGGGGGCTCAGTCAGAATGATGAGTGTTCTGGGGGAGGGGGGGTTGTCCTAAGAAAGTTTGGAAACACCTACACTATTCCACTAGAGCACCCTAAGAGTTGGTGGTGGGTGTTTGACCAACTGCCTTGCTTCTTGTCAGTATCTACAGAGTGAATGGGGGGCTCAGTCAGAATGATGAGTGTTCTGGGGGAGGGGGGGTTGTCCTAAGAAAGTTTGGAAAACACCTACACTATTCCACTAGAGCACCCTAAGAGTTGGTGGTGGGTGTTTGACCAACTGCCTTGCTTCTTGTCAGTA